AAATTAGATGTATTAGACTATGCCTCACTTCGGTTGATTGGGAACTTATGTCACTGTTCGGCTTTCCACTTCGAAGCAGTTGGGGGCAAGCCTTGAATGCGAGACAAATTGGTTCACAGTCAAATTCTTATGATGGTTCACTGCACCTGTACATGTGCTTTGATGCGGATATTATGATAAAACTTGAGAGATATTATTGTTATTTGCATTTTCATAATTGTTTTAATCACACTGATATACCTAATTTTGGCCAACGTACACGATACGTAGTATTGTCGACCATTGAGCATTTTAGTATTATAAGAATTAGTGTTGAATATTTGTCTTGATGTAATAGTTTTTTTGAGGGTTATGCATTATATTTCTAAAGTTCTTTTTTACAAACAAAAACCCATCGAATTCGAGAAAACGTGTAAATAGATTTTTTCATTATTTACAAGATGTGTAATTACACAAATCATGAGTCATATTTTAGTGAATCATAGCCGCACTGATGAACAGAATGTCGAAGGTAATTTGTATCCTTTTTTCAAAAATGTCTTATGTATTTGGCCACATGAAAAACTTATGAGTAATGTGGACATAACCATTCTCGTTATCGTATATCAAATCACACTTAGGCATTGTGTCTTTACTGGTATACTTTGAAACAGCAGATATCACGAAATATTTGCTTTTAATGGATGATAATAAAAAGCCAGCAGAACTCCGTAAACGTTGTTCTTATCTTGCATAGTATTTTGTATTTGAAACTAAAACTAAGTGTCATATTTGGTTCCACATAACATCAAAGCACTTTTACATTCCCTCGGACTAGTCTTTATAACAATATTCTAGTTGTTGTCTTAATTTAAGCGTTAGTTAGTTTTTCTGCCTAGTACGCATCATGAACGACTTTTCGGGTGACTTTCATGCAGCCTCTTCAAGACATCAAACTACCGGACATTTTTGTTAGGAATCAGTTCTTTATTAATCTTTTCAATACTTTTTCCAGTGAATTCATTTGACTTTTAAGCTTCTGGCTTAGACTTGCAGTGTCTATGAGCCTTATTCATGCTTTTCAGAAGCGGCTTTAGGGAGGACTCTTTTATGCGATTCACGTGGGTGCGTCAAGTTTAAAACTAGAAAAATTACTCTTTGTGACTTAATATGCACCTGTTGCAGGGTCATCAACAGTAATTGAACATAAACTGATATCTTTTTCAGCTACTACGTGCTCATGTTAAACATTGGGAGAATAAAGTTTGACAAAACATTCATTCTCCAGTTCCGATGCTACTGTAACTTCAATTCTCATTATTCGCTTATTCCTAAAGGATGCTTGATCACTTAACAGAAGTTTCAGTGGCAGCGCTTATTATTGGCTGAATATTTCTCTACCTTAGGAAGGATTATAATAAAGTTAATTATATATAATAGTCTTTGAGCAGTACATTCTTTATAAAGCCTAAAATCTCTAGAAAGGTTATTTCAAGAAATATTTGTTGTATAACCCAGAGAATATTTTGTAATATTATTGAAGTATTTTAATGATCGAATGTGTGAACGAATTGAATATAGTCACAAAACTACTGAATTTTTTAATCCTAATTTTCATTTTTGTCAGATCATTTACACAAGTAAATTTTGTAACATGACTAACTTATAAGCTTTTCATTGTTATATTATATTTCTGAACTTATGACTTCGTTTTAAAAGTATTTAATTTACTCACATCTGTATATGACAGAAAACTGATGATCTGCAGTTTTGTATAACTTCAGTTGTCACTTTTTTGAATCTTTACCAGTGACGTGATAGAGCCTGAATTATATGTGTGAGCGGACCCTTGAGATTCCACTGTTAATGGTCACCCAGTTTTTCCATAAATGGAAAAGATGGTAATCGAACAGGTGTTGTTACAACGTCAATTGCATGTTCAAATACGAGGTTTATATGCATTACAACGACCTAGGCTTTTTCCAGGTCTACTAGATTTAAATTCTACTGGTTTTTCAGCTCTTCCATTAATTTGATACTTCCATTTTGGTTCACGTGTTTTTATGCCGAAATTTCGAAGCAAAGTGATTGGTTGAAAGAGGCTTCAGACATATATGGTCTATTATGAAGATTTTGTCAATCTTTCTACATACTGTAACATAAAGTCACTCTTATCGCCACTTGCAATTGGTTATAAACTGTTGCTCACTCTAAGGGAAGGTCGTTGGACAGCTGACTATAACCGCTTCCGAAATATTTCATAGGGGAGACGTCCAATGTTTTACGAGAATGCATCGAAGATATTCATATTCGGTAATAAAAGCTTCAAATTAACATTTTAACGAGGTCAAACTTCATCCAAAATCATCGATTTGTGATATATGCAAACACTGTTAAGTGACCACTGCTTATTATGCAAACCTAGCCAAGGATATACAGTACTGTTTCACATTTGTGCTTCAGAACATTAATTTCAACTGAAGTCAACTCTTGGTTGCAAGCAAAGAGGAATTTTTGTACTGAATAAGGAGGTTGAGTGACCATGCACAATAGACAAATATGTCATACTTTTCAGCTTCAGAGAACAGTATTAAACTAAAGGAAGGAAAGTTTCTTTATTGCTGAAATATTAAGAACAAACCTTATGTTGTAGATACTCGGGATGGATGTGAAAGGAATCAGAGTTAGTAGCGTTTTAGGTGTTCATTACTTTCTCCACTTGTTGGTGGTTATAAATATCAAAATGAGGATAATATTCAAATGTTTCTCGAACATTTAGTCTCGTCAGTTTGGTCCTCTCGAAACAGATGATTGTTTCATTAATTTCATATCGATTGGCATAAATGACCGAATTTCTGATTCAAAAAACTGTCATCTAAATTTGTGCTGCTTAGTTACTCAGTTTTCATTGCAGTTGGAAGGGCTCTGTTTTTGTTTATCACTAGTGAGAATACAAATTTGACTGTTAAAGACAAATACTGCAGTGATACACAAAAATATGATGTCGAGAAATTTAGGGTAGAAGGCGCGAATGCAAAAATAATAAAGTATTCTTATGATATGTAAATGTTTATATTTCAAAAGTTTTCTGATTGTAATTAATAATTAAACCCTAACATCGTTTAGTAAATTTATTTGGCGTGATTTTTCTTTCGTATTGTAAACAAGTACTAGTTGACTTTGTTCAATATTAAAACTTCTTGTCCTTATTGGGACATCTTGACTGTTTCATAGCAAATAGTGGGACACTGCAAGCAATTACTATAATTTCAGTCCTTCGTTTTTCTTAGACGTATTTCAAATGATTGTAATCTCACATGAACAGTTGAACTGATATGTAATTGACATCTTAGGCTGTGAATAATTGGACTGATAGTCAAATTGATTTAATTCGGTCATGCAAAGAATAATTCTCGTGTCTTTTATTGATAGTCATGAGGAAATATAGTGTTGTACAACATCACTTTGAATGCAAAAAAGTATTTAAATATTTCATTCATATGAAGTATAGAATGTTCCGTTGGTTTTAAAGTTTAAAATCATGTAACTGAAATGTTTTATGAAGACTGGGAAATATCAAGGGTCTTGAAATTATTTGCTGAAATCATTTTGACCATCTGAGAAGGCCGTAGTTCGGCCGACTAGTATTTATAATGTGTAATGAATGAAGGTGAAGTGAAAATCTGGACTGCGGCCGGATTCGAACCAGCGATCACAGGGTTACGGGCTCGATGCTCTGCCAACTGAGCTACCATGTCTTAATTTGGACCGCGGCCGGATTGTTTAGCTCAGTTGGTAGAGCATCGGGCCGGAAACTCGGTGGTCGCTGGTTCAAATACAGCCAAAGTCCAAATTTCCATTTCACCTCCAATCATCACCCAGTATAAATATTTGCTGAAAGTCTTGAGCAAGGAAGAAAACTTTTTATTTCTGGCTTACAAAGATTTTATCAGTAACATTATTTAAATATCATACTTCAAACTAGTGCTAATCCTTTATACATTTACTGTGAAATAGTTTTCTACTGGTATAGAGCAATAATAACGTTACTAGCAAAATATGTTCACTTATTTAACCAACAAATTTTTTTCCAAACGTCTTGAATCTAGGTCAATGAGAAAACTAAAACACATTGTTATACAACTGACAAGCAGCCTTTCGAAAGGTTTCAGTTTGATTAAAAACAGAATCTGCAAGGATATCCAAAGATGAATTTGACTAGTTCTACTTTGCATACTGATTATCTTGAAAGTTAAGCCATTAGAAAAGTTTTAAGACGATTTGTCCAAACTTCAAACTAATCAAACCATACATTATTTCATCAACTTGATAATATGGCATTTACTTCCAGTTATTTTGTGTTCAACCTGTGTCTATCAATCTAATCTGTTGGTTACTGCATGCATCACACAACTGAAACTATTTTGTACTGTTATTGTTGCTCGTTATATTGTTTAGTACAAAATACACATCAACAGTAAAGTGTAGGAATTTCGAAAGATTTGAGGGATCTATGCAAACTGATTATATTATGTTATCTGTTGATACTGTCGTAGAGATGATTTGAGTGAATGCCGTTGGTCACAAAAAGGCATAGGAGCTTAAATAGTTGGACGAAGATATTAAAAACTATGACTGTTGTTAGATTAACTAATGAGATTAGTTGGCTGCTGTGACATAAATTTGATGAATATTATCCAGCATAACATAATTAAATTCATTAACTTATGCGTCATATTTAAATCGATTCTCTTGTACAGCTTTCATCCAAATAATTCCTTCTGAGCTATAGCTATTCAGCATCACTTCACTGATATTAATTTCATTGAAATTAGCAACTAATGTTATTGCAGTAAAGACTCAGTTAACTTCAATCAGCTCATTGCAAACAGAAAAAAGTTGCATTATAACAACTACACTACTTTAAACACATTCAATAATCAAACATTCTGTGATTTTTACTGACTAACCTAAGACTTTACTAGATATTATTTCAGTGCTTGTTATTTTGCATTTTTCAGCTCCATCTACTAACAGCGTCAAAACTACATCAGCAATTTTGCAATTGTTATTGGCGAATCGTGACAGTATTGCGTAAGTTTTTTTATTTTTTACGGCTCTTAGCAAGTTCTTGTCTTCTTCAAAATGATCAACAGTTTTTGAAAAATGTCATTCAGTTGTGTCAACTTTTAGCATGAGAAAAATATTTTTTACTTTGCCTGATGAGTGTATATTTCAGAAAGTCACATAGTATGAACACTTCCTAGTAAATATACTTCTTACGTATGCCAAAAAGAATATTATAATAAACAGGTTGCTTGAATGCTTATACCTTTTTTACCTGAACGTTTAAACCGAAATATTCCCTACAGTGTAATCGCTTAAACGTCTTGCATCTCAGTCAAAATTTAGTATTGAAAAAAACATTTATTGAAGTCTTGGTTTGAGTTAGAATGAAAATCTGGGTTGCTGCAGTGGTTATCATATGGCAGCGTTTAGTCAAGGATTTTTATCAAAGTGCTAGGAGACTGAGCCTAACCTTTCCAAAATTTGAATTCAAATATATCAACACAACAATATCTTTAACCTTCGCACAAAACTTTGTGACTGTCTACATCATATAAAATTCATCTAGACTTTTCCACCTGAATTATCTGCATAAGTGTCTTGAGGTTAGGTGGTGCGCGCTAAGTGTGTAAGATATGCCGTTTGATAAAATTGTGAACCTTTATAACTGGGGTTGTTTGGAAGTGTGTCGCATATACACCACTACTGTTTAGCTCGACGCATGATATTACTGGAAATAAGATTAGCTCGTAGGAAGCTAAGAGTGACCAGACAAAAAGCTGCAATCAGTTATTGTCACTGACTACTGGTTTGAACTATATACGAAAGTGCATGATGCCTAGATTAGGTCATCGACGCGACAACAGTTACTTATTAGAGACCCAGTTATATGACTCAAAATCAATCGCAATTTCTTCAAGGTATACACTATTTCTCATCAGTGAAGTTTCATATATTTTTATTAACCTGAATCAACTCATTCTTTTCTTCCCTTTGGACTTTTTTCGAGAACGACTTCATTCCTTTTCGCTTCATTGCTTGCTTATGTACTAGTCCGTCAGTTTTGACCGAAGTTTACTAGTATCAAAGCAACTTAAATCACTCCTGAATAAAAGGTTATCAAACATGGATTCTTCAGAAAGCGACTGTCGTATATTTCCTCATTATTTGGGTTGTGAAAATGATATAAATCTTTATCGTTAGAAAGGCTAATACTTTCAGTATGGATGATGAGCAACCAACAGTTTTAGTGTCGATTATCTGCCATCTATAGCAAGCATATAGGACATCATTTGGGATGTGAAACAGCTGTCAACGGTGACCTGACTTATCATATGTTAAAGATGGCACTTCTTCCTAAGCAGGAAACTAAACTTTGCTCGGGTAAATTTCATTGGTTCCTTTTACTGGGACGAAGCTTCAACTTGGTGTGCCCTAACGTTTCATAAATCCCTATCTCATCTTCGTTAGGGAACTGTTACTCTCCAAAAGGTTCGTGCATACTATTACTGTTTCAAAGCCATCAGTCTGAAAAACATTGTCATATTTTTAGTTGACCTAGTTTTCAATCAGTATTATACTTTTTATGCCCATCTATTTTATCCTGCTGCATAATATTTTTGTCTTCTAATATCCAATCAACAGATATTCCTTACGAACTGATTAAAACCTATGATATTTCTCCAAATGATAACCTAACTAATTACTTTTGGTGCAAGGACACAATGTTGTCACTCTCCATCGACTGTTTAAAACACTTTTTTTGGAAACGTTTTCGATTGGTAATGACAAAATAAACTAACCCCTTCAATTTTAATTTTAGAAATGGAGGTTGTAAGTCCAGTGAGTCCAGTTTTGGCTCTCTCAAATTGACAGACAGAAAAACGTACATTCATGCTTAAAAATAAATAGATTCCGCTTACTATCCTAAACAACATCACAGAAAGAAGGACAACTGGGAGTCGCATTAAAAGACATCAGTGTAGTCCCTAAGGACATAGGAAGAAAGATCAAATACGAATAAAAGTTAGTAACCCAATGGTTTTATCGCTGACTGCATCACTGGATGACCCGGGTTGAGACTTTACAGGGGACATCAGTACACCTAGGTTGTAGATATGACTTGCTGTTGAGTGCAAAGAAACAAGAATGCCACGCCTTCAGGTTACTGCTGACTGTCTTCAACCAACCAACGTCAATGAAATGTTCCTTAGTTTGAAATAGTAAAGTGCCATTGCACTTTCATCATTGGCCTTAACTAACAAGGGCAATAATATTCACGTGATATTTCCGATGTTTTTGAATTTTAGAAACTTTTTTGAGTCTTCAAGTAGGTTTGCATCGTTCACACCGAAAGTAGAATGTTATGCTTAAGTAGAGATAATAGCATTATTACATTGTTTAGGTAACATAATCATTAAAATGACTAGCGAGGATGGACAGTTTGTTGCAAAGTAACTTGAAGGAAGTTAGATAAATGTTTAATCACTTGAAGCTTTGTGCATCCAATGAATAAATCGATCTTATTTTCGTGTAAACACAACTGATTTACCAAATTAATTTACAGATTGTTTCTGTGTTATTAATTTTTAACTCCGTAAACACTAGCCTTTTTGAAATTGGCTGTTATAAGGTTAATTATATGTAGATAGCCTTCTTGATTTCGTCACCGTAATATTTGCTGAACTAATAATCTTCACTAGTTAGGTACAATACAGAATGTTTGGTAGGACATATTGCAACAGACAAAATCAATCGATTTATGTATTCAGTAAAAACCCATATTGTTAATTCTTTTACCTGACAACTGAGTAGTTGATATTATGACATTAGATGCTTGCATGAGTAGTTATTTCCTAATGCTAACAGCTACTTAATTGGAGTAATGTGACAGTAAAAATGCACTAAAGCCATAACTAGCAGTTTTAAAAGTGAAGCGTAGATATAGATAAATTCCACCTTGAAGTAAATTTTTTAATGGTGAAAATAGGGCAGTATTACTATAGCGGTTTACAATTAAATTTGACATTCATTTCATGGACTGTAGTCAGTTTTTTCTGTTCATTGTCTGCTCGCAGACAGAAGTGACGTGAGAAATGAGTAGGTGATAACTACAAAATAAAATTTAAGAAATCAAATGACTTTGAAACACGTCTCCAATCCCTAAAGTGCTCAGAGCGTCTCTAAATTAGATTACTCACACAACAGTAAGTCTCTAATGCCGTTGTGTTCACCGTAAATTTAGGGATTTCAAGCATAATTCATCCATTCTCCACAATTGGCACGTTACAAATGTAGTCGTATTCATATGCTTTCCATAAGTGTCACTATGATTGGCAGTTAAATATTTTAGTGTTCGGCCAAGTCATAATTTAGAAAAGAAGTATTATTTATTCAGTGATGGGTTTATAAATGATTGAGTAATAGTCTGTGACTTAAACACTTATTGATGTAGGTGCAAATCTTTATGAAGTGAGTTGCCGTAGTGACGCAGATACATCGCATTAGTAGTTGCCGGCAGGTAACAAATCTTGACTAAACAGAGTTTTCTGATGACTACATTCAAAACTTTACCTAACAGTCATACTTATTTTGAAAAAGTCATATTTCATTGAAGTGGCCGGACTACAAACAAATGATTTTTACAGTGTACAGTCCCTAAAGTTAATTCATGCCCGATATGTAATCTCTGTCATGGTGATTAGTAAGTACTTAAGCTTCATAAAAGTTCAAATACACACTGAATGTGTCAAGATGGGCAAAAAATATTTGATAATTTCAAAGTGTTTTCATTATTCTTTCTCCGTACGAGTGACTCTATTCCTGCATTATGTAGTTTTATGTTACTAACCGGTTTTCAAGGTTAGGTTTTACTTCTGAATGGGTTAGAAAGCTGAGGAATAGGAAAATGTAACAAAGCAATCGGCTTTAATTGCATTCATAAATATAACCAATACCTTGTTCAATATCCTACTAGGTTCTAATGCATCAGACAATATTTCTACACAGGTAATTGGTTCATTTATCTAAAAATGTCTTTCTTTACATAGTGTATTGAATTTTTGAGTTAAGTAGTAATCATTAGTGGGTTATACATAAAGATAGTAAGCAGCCTGAATTATCACAAAATAAAATTGTAAAGTGTGTGTCATATGTATGGTACTCTTTGTTTAATGTCATATGCTTGTCATAATTTGTGTATCTTACAGTTGTTTAGTCTATGATGCGTTCTTGTTATGCAAAAAACATGCTGTCTGACAGAATTTAATCATGCTGTACTATATTGAATAATAAGATCAAAAGTTAGATGGATATACTTTCGAAAATCATGTCCACTAATCATACACAATTTATCAAATATATACGAGAAGCGATTGTTTATCATTACTAATTTATACGAAATTCATGTTTCACTGGTGATTACTCTATACGGATGCATTTACTTAAATTGTCCTATGCCACAGTTTACGATGAAATCAAACTGTACTCCTCTTCATATTTGTTGTATTTGTCACATGACTTTAGTGTTTCTGTTTATTGCCAACAGGATTCGTTTCTATGCGCTAATGATAAGTCCTTCAATAAGCAGTGACTATCCCTTTTGTGAATTTTAAATACTGAATGATTTAAATATAGTGTTTTCAGATATCTTTGGTTCATCTAACTGTGATTAATTTCTTAGCGTTCATTAGTTTGAAGCACTATCTAATCGTATTTAGGGTTCAAGATTTTCATCGAAAGCTTTGACGCTATGAAAAAGTGAAAAAAAATATAGGAAGGTATAATTCTAGTTTATTTCATGCCAGGTGATGAAGCAGTCATAGACTGGAGTGTATATTTGCTGAATATAACACGAATAATTATTTGCTTTTGCAGCTTGTTTTACTGTGTTGATATCTGATAAAGAGCTTTAAGGGAATTATTCTCCCTAATGCTCAAATCATAACCTTGTATTAACAAGGAGGGTATATAGGAAACAGCTCTGTTGAAATAATGATCTTTCAACCTGGTCTCAATTTGTGGCTGACACGTCTGTATAGTTTCTAAACACTATTCAAATAAATATACTGATAGTAGCACTAGTAATCCAGATAAAATCTTAATCTCGGTCTCGGCACTGCGAGTAAATAGTATTTGTCTGTCCATTTACCGTTTAATTTGCAAATGATCTACAAATTGCACTGTCCATATTGACATTTCTTACAGTTGAGTAGTTTTTCAGCTACTCAACTGTGGTGTCAATAGGGTTTCCGTCTAAAACCACCCAGCCGAGATCACTGTGTGTGATCTCTGACACAAAAGTGTCGTGAACCTAGCAAAATACACTACTACTGACCAATTGGAGTAGTTACAAACCATTCACAACTATCAGCAGCTTTCGGTAACATGATCGAGAGGGTTTAAACATTGGATGGCTATTTCGCTCATTTGGGGCCGTGCTCATCAGCGTTGTGATTGGACAAATTCAGCTGATAGAGCTGAACTAGTTCGGACTACTTGAATCTAGCTTGCTGACGTGTGTGAAACGGTAGTATGATCAGTTTGCAAGTTAATTACAATTTCATACCTCTATGAGCTGAAATTTTTCCTGTTACATAGGTGATGGACTCGACGCGAAACGAGTGAAACGGATGTCCTATTTTAGATCACACTGATGTAGCTGGCGAAATCTACAGATTAGCGTGAGTGATTTCTAACTACTCAAGTTCTTCGCTGGCAGTACATTAACTGCTTCTCAATGTTTGGTTTCACTAATTTAGGTATTTTATATCTGAGTAAGCTGGCTTAGAGGACAATTGATTTTAAGCTCTTTAAGCATTAGCGTATGGAAATCTTTACTAGTTTCAACGCATAAACATATTTTGAAAGTGTTGAAAACCTAAACCGTTATTATAATTGAATTGAAATCTCATACGTGAAAAAAATATTTATTTTTAAATTGCCAAATTCGAATTAAGATTCTGGTTTACATTGCTAGGTGTTTCCGGTGTTAAAATTTCTTGCAATCTGACCAAGAGCTTTATAATTCATTTAATCTTTTGACAGTGATTTGGATACAACAAATTTACCTAGAATGATAGCCCTTCAGAGAGGTACAAACGGTTTTGGATTTGTTGTACGAGGCAAAAGAGGTAAGCGACCTTTTGCAGCAGTGACCTTTGAAGTGTCTTTTACAAATCGGCATATTTAAACGTCATAAAATGTTTTGGAAGTTTTTATTCCACTTAACTGTGATACATATTATCCATTTATCATTCTGGGGAAATGCAAGGTGAAAAGAATGCCGTTATAATCAGAGGACGTCATATTGTGAGACAGATTGTAAAGTTCACTTATATTATTAATGAACATAAACTAGAATACTGTTGAAAACAAATACTTCTTATAAGAATTTAGATGGAGCTGAAAACTCTGAATGATGAACACTGTTGAATTCATATCTGACAATTCTTGAATATGTGGCAGTTTTCTGTGAATCTCAAGTTACACCTAATATACAATACAGTTTCATTTTCGAACAAATGAGCGTAACACAGGAAAGATTCTAAGCTGTTGCAGAAATGTCTTCTCAGTGTATTTGTGTTACCAAGTGATTGGCTTTTCTATATTCTCTAAAAACCTGAAGTAAGTTGTCAAGTATAATATAGCAAGCAGATATTTCGCGTTAACAGAATGCCATATACCAAACACTTAGTAGTCAGTTATTTTACTGAGGTAGTCATTTAAAATAGTATGCCTACTGTCAAGAAATATCGAGATAAAGTTGAAATATCAATGCCTTCAATAAATGTACAGAATAATTTACCTAAGTATATTTCAATCCAATAGATCTTTCCTTAGTTGGAGGAAGGAATTTTCGTATTTCTTTAAAATGATTGTGTTTTCCGATGAAAACGACTGGTGTGAATGAATTCTCGAATGTCCCGCAGGTATATAATTAATAATAAATTCTGTTTGAAAATTAATTCTTTCTGGTACTACTGACTTTGACAGTTTAACAGAGGATAATATTCAAACCACTCAGTATCATTTTTGCTTCTTAGTATGAGTACACTGAAGAGTATCACGTTTTTCAGCTACACTATTTGTATTACCAAAGCACTTCTGTGCGGCGTTCTACGATACATTTGTCTATCTGTCTTTATCCATCAACAAATATCCTATCTGTAATATAAATTAGTGTTTTGAAGGATGTAGAGAATGAGTTTGCAATAATTTCTTGGTAAACCAGAATGAAAGCTTTTAAAATTATATTCACCAACAAGTACGATAGTTTAGTATGACAACATCATTGCAAAGAGCGCTACTTTAATTCCATCCTCAATTTTATTCTGCTGTGTAGCAGTACCTGTTTTCAAAATCCCGTTTCGTTGCATACTTTTCTTTCCTATTTGTGTTTAGTTCACCACTACGTCATTTCTCTACTTCCTATGTCTTTTAAATGTTGTTACTAGTGTATATTTTTGGGTGATTACTTTACTTTTAGTGTCACCTGATTTTGTGACCTGTTGCTCTCTGTTATTACCCCTTCAAACTAGAAACTAGAAATTACTCACCTTACGAACTTCTTTTGGGGATCATTCTTTTTGTTTATGTATGTCGGTGAGGGTAAATACTGAACAATGTTAGTAATAAAGCAACATGCTAAGTGTGTACAGAACACTGATGGGTTAAGAAGAGGCGTTGCCCATTATTTCCTAAAGTAATATTTCCTATGAGTCATAGGTGGGCGTTAACCTTTGGACACATTATCAGAGGTACATGTATGCATACACATACAGCAAATCAATAGCTGAATTTCAAAATATTTGGGATTAACTCAATTAGGTCATTTAGCCTGTAAAGTTTTTGTTTTATATAGAAAAATTGCTGGGGAATTTATTGTATAAACATTAAAACGTGAACAATATTGTCCAATGGATCCTTTTTCATTGCAGAAATTGGAACCACTAATCATTCATAGCATTTTTGCGTTACCTATACTACCTATGGGTGGGGTTATTAAACAAGACACTATTCTGTAGTCAATATAGCTTCTAATCAGGTAACGATAAACATCGGTGGTTATAAAATAAAGTCTTACTGCTACGTTTTCCAGAGATTGATCATTCCCTTCCAAACTTGTGTTTAAAAGTTATGATATTAACTACAGTTGGTTTTCCCAGATAAATCCCTGGCTAGAAAGCCGTAATTGCATAATGTAATGTACTTTGTGGCAGGGTTAGATAGTGCAACTTGAATAAATGATGAAAATTTCCCGTTGTTAATTGAACCCAATTGACCCGGCTCCTACATGGATACCTTAATACTGTTGGTAACTTCTGTTTGATGGTAATGATGGATCGTGGATAGGATACAGTTTTCATTCTACTCAATACTTGTCAGCTGGATGTATTCACACCTCAATGAATGAAGGTGTTCCAAAAAGAGTAGATCAAAGCACCAATCACTTCAAACACCAGAGCGTTATCTACTGAGCTACGTGGTCATGATATCCACGGATTTTGTGACGGTTATAGTTTGATTTTATAGGGTTCTGGACATGAGTCTTAGTGAGAAGAACATCATCCAACTGACTAGCAAGATGAAATGCACACCCTGGATTCCCCTGCTAACTAGCGTCTATCGTAATTATCAAAGTTTTGAAAATAAATAGCTATATTCAGGTTTATTACTTTATTAAATGTCGAAATTAGTCTTCACTCAGTGACTGACTCGCACCTACGGTTTTCCTCTTCGCATGTCAGAAATTTGATGAAACTTGCACTGTTTTCGCTTCATCAAGGTTTGTTTACTAAAATTAGTTTATGGATGTTTCTGGTAACTACTACTACAAACAAAAATTTACCTGAGAGTTTTTCATCAATTATCTTCGAAACTCGGCTACATGAGAACTATTGTTGCATCGTTTCCAGGCAGATACAACAAGTCCAAAAAGTTTGTTTCACTCATGGTCAAGCAATCAGTAAGGCTTGAAGGCTACTGCAGTAGCCTCTTTCTTCAGTCCTGACATCTCATACCAATATTTGCGAAACTGGTAATTATTCTCCCACAAACGGCAATGATCAGTAGGACGGAGAAATTACTTCTACAGCTAAATCATTGCTTTTTGTTTATGTTAATATGCACTACATGAATAAATGGCTTCTGTCTTATTACATTTTTCTAGTTGGATAGAACTAAGATGTTGAAGGTAAATGAGTTCACTGTTACAAGTGTAAGTCTTGTTCATGTTTTCTAATAAATTGAAGGATGGGATCCACCAAAATATTCTTGAAACATACTATTTTCCGATTTCCCCAAGGTTTCCAATAAATACTTTGAAACTCATTACTAAATTTATCTACATTCTCAGTTCATCCACACACTTCAAAAACACTGGTTTTCTTTTGGAAAACCTTGCTGTTTACTTAGTATATTATTGTCATACTAATGTTTTGGTCGGTTGGCCAGATCCTTTTACTCTTATTTGTACAAATAAAGTTCGTTTATCTTCTTTTACCTGACGCTTCATTAGGCACAAGTTAAAGAAAGACCTTCCTACTGCATAGGGTTAGGATGCTACTCATGTCTTCCATTTCGAATGAATTAATAACAGAATTCTTCCATGTGTACAATTCGGTTACTCTTTCATGATCAGTAATATCAACGTTGATAAGCGGTAATCGTAATGCCTCTCAGTGTTTTGTGTATTGATAAAAATTCCCTTTTATTTCAGTGATTGACAATGAGTGTAAACAATAATAAAGTTTTAGAACAGCGTTGCTTTACAGTTTGAAAGTTTCTAATAACTTCACTTCTTTAACAAGCAATGAAAATTTTACCGCTGTTTTTTATACGTACTACGTCAGCTGGAATGAATACTGCCGGGTGGTCATCTACCAGCTAAGTTCCTTACATTCCACTGATTAGTATTTTAAGCAACAGTTAAAAGTTGACTTCAGTCAAATGCTTCATGAGTTATATGCTAACTGGTGGATGCTAGCTTGTTGTGATGGGCAGGATTATATATCACAATGACCCAATGAGCTGTACTGGGGAAATACTTGATCCGTTGAGGTTCAACCATGCCAAATGGCTGCTGTTAAGAAAACGCTGTTACCGCCATATTGTAATATACTACACTATGACTGAAGTTCAGGAGCGAAATCTTACTGCCGGCTGGATGAAGATGTGACAGCAATAAGGTATTCCCAGTGGATGGTTAGCATTGATGGGTTGATATTACTTTCTCAGTTAGAAGTGTAGAGGTTACATAAGGTTCTAAAAATAGCACACTGGCCGCTGTCCTATGAATTTCTGGTGCCACGATATATGTATTATACAGTTTGATTTATGATAAACAAACATAAGTCCTAAACTTCCAAAACGGCCATGTAAAACAGGCTTCAAGTGGATGTCTGTTGATCCCTTTGGTCATGTACCACCATTAACAACTCACCTTCCTTCTCAGATACCTGAAGAAGTGACCTTCCATGTCGTTGGCATCCCTTATTCTATCAGCACTCAGGTTCCATAAAATCATCACTAACTTTTAACATGTATATGTAACACCACTATGGACTGATAAAAGTTTACGAAATGGCCTTGAACGGTGGTGTGCACCGAGGGTTAAAGAGACAGAAAAGTCAGCAATGGGTAACAAGAGGCAGCTTTTAGGATTGATCGACGAAGGTTAGTGAAAATAATGCGCATTTCATGCAGAAAGGAGAATACTGGAAAAATAGATGAGACAGTTTGACTGACATTCATCAAATATTCGGTTTCCCGTTGTCCGTTTGGATACTCGATTGAAAAATGGGATTGATGCACCAACTCTCGCATACGTCAAAAAAGCTGTAACCTGAAACGGGTAAGGGCAGCAGAGCAAAATAATGTTGTACCAAAAGTATCTAAGGATGGTGGTCGAGGATTATTGGCCGGGTTCACTAAAGCGTTAGCTGGTGTATGTAGATCAGATGTCATCCCCTCCAACTAATCTCCACCACTGTATATCCCCCTGTGAGGGCAACAGGTGAATCATTCTGACGAAAATAGTAATTAAGATCCTCCATTTCCAGATAATCAGGGGTCTGAGAGGAGCTTGAGGAAAATAAACCTGAGAGAACGAGACAGGTTTCAGACCTGGTCATGGGTGTATAGGCAAGATATTCACCCTCAAGCAGGTTGTGGAACAGAGGCACACTTGCTGATACCCCACAATAACCGTATTCCCTGACCTGAAGGCAATATTCATGTCCGTCGGTCGGTAGACTTGTACTTGTGTCTCTCACTGAAAGGGGCACCAGGTAAGTGTAGCATACTGTTCAAGGCTCTTTACAAGAAGACCCGTGTGTGCGTGAGACTATGGAGATTTATCAGATGTTTTGTACGTCTGGAATTTCGACGGTCTATTTTGCCACAGATGTAACTACGGGGACCTCCCTCTCTTTTCTGACTTTATTAGGTTGATCTCCACAGTAGACTCCTTAGTGAACACAGAGCACTCTTTGGTTGTATTGTGTTCTCTGAGCTGGGCTGTTTAATAGTGAAGCTTTCATCGTCTTTCTAGACGACATCATTTGCACTGACTTCATACAGCGCACGCAGATGACGTGGTTCTGTCAGATGACGATGCCAATAAGAAATAGTTTTCGGGGACACCTTCAGTGGTAATTCAAGAATTTTTGGTATGCTTTTTTTGACGCCCAAATGTGGATTGTTGCCGCAGGGCTGGTCTTCAGTGGAACCCTGTCTAACAGTAGGGAGTCATATGGTTGAGTACGATGACCACTCCACTTATCTGTAACGCCGAATCAACCCGAGTGGGCCAATGACAAATAAATTATCGGGACGGACACAAGAGGCTCAATTAACTTTGGACAACTAATGGGATTCATGACACCACCGTGGTACCGTCGATTTTACTGCCATGTTATTTGATTTTTATGTTATGATGATGTGAAACATAGCTATCAAATGTAAAACACACAAGAAGGCTTTAGATATTCGAACACTGTTGCATTTGTAGTATGTATGTCACATGCCAGTAAGCTGAACATCAGGTGTAGAGTTTAGAGAGGGTAAGAAAGTTTCTCTTTGAGGCTATGAACCTTCATTTCTGCACGGGGTTACAACATGTGTTGTGCATGTCTAATCACAGCCTTTGTTATGCCATCTATACTGAAGTAGTTTTAAGCTGGAAAAATGTTTGAGGATTCCAGAAAAAACCATATTCAGTTGATATGTTCTTTGACTGTTGGTCTGAGCTGTACAAGGAAAGTGTGGACTTCCCGGTTGATATCCGCAGGCGAAAACGTCAGTTGTTGGATACCCCAGGTGATAAGACTCCGAAGGGTTCATACATTTATGAAAAAATTTGATCATCATACCGAATAACATTGTCGTCTTGTTCTTGCTTGTCCTCTTATTGCAACTTTCTACCGCTTCTGACTGCTTTTTGTCTCATGTCTTCATCTATCATCATGCCACATACTCGCTTGATTTCCTGATATGAAGTGTGACGAATTGGACCGCTACGCAGTGATGCCAGGTCCAATGTTATTAATCCTTCCTTATATACCTAAGACTGACATATGGCTTCAGTCCATGGAGTCTAACTATTAGTTTGGAAAGTCTAGGGGAATGTAGATAACTTGGCTGGGATCCATGTGACAACAGAAATTAGTGTTTACAAACTCTAGCTGAAATGGCTTAGAATGAATCTTAGTGATGCAGATTTATGCACACATTATTTTCATCTTAATCTTCATACTGAGTTTCAATATTTTCTCATTTGTTGCTGGTCTCTTTTCACGACTTTCTACCACTTTGACTACTTTCTCTGTTTTTCTATCTGCAATCTAGATGCATTCTTGCTGATTTTCTGATGTGAGGTGCAGTAATTTCATGTCTCATTTTCAAATTATCACTTACTTTCCAACACATCTCATAGCACCATGTTGATTTCAAGTCCTACTTTTGAGAAGACTGTCTTCTCTGAAATTTCTTGCTGTTATAAAGTACCTGCGAAACTAAGTAATTTCGGTGCTTTGTCTTTAGTAAATTTTTTGCCTCCATATCAGGAATTCTCCAGGGTTGTAGCAAATGTTTAAGGAAATGATAATAATATCAGAGTTCAAAGTAAAATGCTAGAAATGTTTTACATTACTTTTACTCCACAGAAATATGTAATCTGTAAGCCTGTCTTGCTATTTCTATGTAACTCAAGATTTCCCGTTCCTATTCAGGGTTGACCAGTTAAATTAATTCGTGGTTGATAACTTAAACAAACAGTTAATATTACTGAATTTCGTCAACAACTTAAGTGTTTGAAGTTGTCATTAAAGTTTTTTTATCTCATTTGTCAGTATCATACTTTTATAAATATACGTGAAGGTTAATAAAACCGACTCACATGCAAGACCCTTGCGTATCAGTTATCACATATGCTCTGGTAGAAAAAAGCGAACTTTAATATTTATGATTAATTTTAGTACATACCAGCTTATGTATACTCTTAGTATTGTGTGTTGCTGTATTGTTTATTATTAGGCTTCCACATGATCTGTTCCGGTGTAGTACCTACATTTTGATTACAGCCACAGCAAAATAATTTTTTTCCATTTTTACGAAGGTATTTCTGAAAATTTCACTCCAAGTCTTGAGTGTCCTGCATCACAATACCTGGAGAAAATTGAACCAAATAGTGCTGCAAGCAGAGCTGGATTAAAAGCGGGTGATTTCATATTGGAGGTAAATCAAAGCATTGGATATTTTTTCAAAGAATACTCATTGAGTTTAACATTTTCTCAATTCACTAATGCTATAAATTCCTTACTGTCATTATTATCACTATTATTATTATTATTATTATTATTATTATTAAATATGATTATATCTTCTACAGACAGAATAAAACGTCGCAATCATCTGCAATTTAAACATAATTTTATGGAATTCAGGATCAATATTTTGATCGGATAGAATTGAATAAGTTGAGCATTGGGTAAATGGACTTTAATCAAGACACGGTTTTCAGATATACTGATAACATTCAAATTGACGGAGAAGAAAAGGAAAAGAACCAACTAAGACTATGTGCTGTGTATTGGTAATATTTTTGCGGAATCCATTATTAGAGAAGAAATGCAGTTACATTAGCGTAAATGCGTCACACCTGTGACTATTGCCAATCAGTGGTTTCTGTATTTAAAAATAAGTTTAAAAACCCGCAACTAGGTAGAAAAGTTAATTTCTAACGTTTCGAAGCCTCTGGTAACCTACTTTTTAAGTAATAGAGCCTTTACAAGTTATCAATTGTTATAATAGTGGAGGGAACAAATCAGATTACATTGTTAACTCACTCATCTTATTTAAAACATGATTGAATATTATCGTTGTCAACTACCAATCACTGAATTGAAGGTGATCATTTGAAGTGTTACGAAGTATACATGCGTGCGTAAATGGATGTTGGTGCACGTGTGAAAATGGACATGAATGATGAATGCCAATTGTGTGCATGTATGTGTAACAACCTTTCAGATGTAGGTAGTTGTAGTCATTATACAAACCGTTAGAAGTTTACATTTCTATCTTATTCGGATTTTAAAAATGGATTTTGCTTATTTATCAGCTGTCCAGAGCTGAACTTATTTAATTACATCACGCCAACCTTAGATCATGATGTCTAGAAAGTACATTTGTTTACGTGGTCTGTATCACTAAAACATACTTCTACGGGTCGCTTTAATGGAAAATCTTGTTCCGTATTCAACTCTTATCGGATAAATCATTCCTTATTATCTAATACGGCAAACAGTGACTGCACATGAAGACTGAACTATGTGGCAAATATGATCTGATATCTGATAACTCAAGAATATTACTGGTGTCAAAAATACAATATATTTAAAGCTGCATCACTTGAAGCAAAAATGGGCAAAATGTTGAAGGAAATTCTAGAAACCTCATTTAGAACATTGACATGCTTCCGAATTTTTTTTATTTTCTCAATTGACTTATCAGTTAAAAAGGAAATGGGGTTAATTTTGTTGAAAAATTGTGGCTAACTTGACTCATCATTTGATTGTAGTGTGCAGAAAAACGCAAGTGAAGCTTAATAAAGTTATCGATTGGGCAGTTATGCTAAACCTTAGTAAAATAATAAAACCTTTCATGAAACGCTGTTCATGCATGTTGTCTCTGGATCCTACATTCCAAAGGCATTTATCTGTAGTTTCTGTTGCTTCTTCATGTGTCTTTTGTATTTCCTTCAGACTAGAAGATAACTCCAATCACTTTTGTCAGTGGCATCATGTCATATACCATTTATCTATGTTTGTATAGGTGGTGCACGTCTTCAACGAATACACTTTTACTAATGAAGAATAGACAACAAATAAATATTCTGGACAGCAAAATGACAATATGTGCCTATATGCTCCCCACTGTCAGAAAACTCGAAACACTCAACCTTTTGAATAGAATGTCACACTAATGCCATGGTTGTCTAAGTACGCTAGAATATATATGGCTAAATAACTCTGTCAGTTGCAAATTTTCTAGTTGTCGGGTACATGAGGGATTCGGTGCTCCAATCTTTTAACGGAAGTTTTTTTGCACTGTTTTTCCATATGTACATGTGTATTTGTAAGTAGGAGTGACTTTAAAAACTACCATAGCAATAACTGAAATAAATAATTAGACATCTATATTTTTTGAAAATCTGCCTTTCGAGCTGGAATTAAGAAACTGAAATGGTCATTTAGATTGTTGTTAGGGTGGCCTATAAAATCGCCCGTAAGTAGTTTCCACATGAAATTGAAAAATCAGTAATGTATACAAATTAATATAAAAACCCTAGATGTTACACATGTCGTTAAGATATTATTACGATATATAGGTTGGTACTGCCTCGAAAATTGACTTTTTTAAAAAGCATTTCATTATATATCGATATGCAGCCATAGAACCAGTGAATTGGGCGTAGACAACCTTGTTGTCTTAAACTGAGGTTGTGTAATAGTTAGAAGTGTAAAACTTTTTGAATCACACTGCGATATTCAAGTTTTTGTTATCAGCTCACTGTCGAGCTGACCAACTCGAAATTTACAAGTGTATATCTGTAACGAAATTCACTTGAAGTCAAGTTGAAGAGTTTATTTCTTATGTCAGAGTAATTTCAGCTCACAGAAAGTTAGAATATATTTCTAGTCACAAGTATAGGAGTGTTTTCTTAAGCCCAGAACATGCACATCAACAGATAACTTATAATGAGTTTGAGGGTAATGACTCTGTGCATGGTAGCAAAAACATGAAGTGAGTTTACAGCTGGTGAATAAGTTAGGCAGTTGTGAGCTCAACAGGGAAACAGTTCGGAATGTTAGGAGACTTTTTATGAGGTGGTACATCCAGTTTCGGCATCAGCAAAATGATGTATATTTGCTAAGTGCTCAACAATATCGATTTCAACATACCCAACATTTAATCCTTTCAGCCTACCATAGTTAAAAGTGATATTTTGTCTCTACCTAAATGTACAAACTATGACATAATTTGGTTGTTACTTGTTTTTTCAACGAAAAGCTTTAGATGACCTGCGTAATACAAGTATTTGGTACTAAGCCGACCTATGCCTAGAATCAATTCAAAATAACAAGTGAAGTTTTCTTGTTTTAAGAGTATGCACTAACATGTATTTGGTATAACCTTGACGTTTTCCACCTCTACTACTTGAAAATAGCACTTTGATCTACTTCAGCCGTTAAAATAGTGGTATATTTCAACATCCGTGGAACGTGTAGAAGTTATTTCAGTTTTAGGGAATGAACATTATAAAACTGACACTATAGAAATTTAGCTAAAGCTAACTTTGGTTTGATCTTTATTTAAATAACTTTGCTTTATTCAATTCCTAGAACAAAGATCTAATTAACTGCAGCAGTTTCTTCATAGTACAGCGGAGATAGAAGAAATTAGCATGTTTGGTAGGAGACAAAAAATCTTCTAATATGGGGTTCTCAGTGACATGCGTATAAAAGCAGAAGACTTTACTGCCTGGCAGAAATTCTGGGTATTCTCAAGTTCATGATTAAATTCACTTCGACAAAACTCTAAGAAGACGTAAACTGTCTGAACTTTCTTATTGTTTTGTCAGAATTTATAAAGCTAGCTAATTTTGACTACTGATTACTTCCAAGGTAGTATAAAATTTTTGGCGAAATTTCTGAGTATTAGTATATTCTTAGGAACTAAGGGAGTTACGTAGTTTATAAGGAACCACAAAAAAGGTTTAATGTAAAACTTATGATGTTTATTCATATCTTCCTCACGACAAAACTCAGCAGCACAGAAACATTTTTCCTATGCTGTTTAAAATCACTCACTTGTTGCTACTGACTTCTGAGCAGTAGATATTCAGAAATCGACAAAATGAATAAAGCCATAGATATTCAATAAAAAGCATGCAATTAACGCTTTCATAATAAGTTTTTCGTTTTGGTCGGCAGGTATAACTCATGATACGAAACTGTACTAAGCGCCTGGACAAATCTGTCTAAAAAACAAGAATCATTTCATTTGGATTGTTAACTTCTAATTAAGATATCTCGCAGATGTGTTGATTACAAAAAATGACAATATTTAAAACACTGACAGTATACTTCATTCACTGAGTGCACTGTAAACTGTTCATATTGAGTTAGAACATATAAAGGAAGGAAAGAATATTTACACAGAGGAGAAATATTATTCATTTTAAAGTCCCTAAATGAGGATGCGAAATCGCATCCATGATTTCCAAGTACTGCAGTATATCAAAGTTTAAAATTCAATGAACTGAGCTTGTTTGTCTACCTGAACTTTAGCAAGCAATTTAGACTTCGAAAAGTACTCATTAGACACCTAAACTGTTAGTCAAAATCTGTTATCACTTGTTGAATGCTGTTCTAATTTTCGTTTCCTTGGACTTGATTGTGTTATGAAAAGGGTTCGAGTAAACATATCTGAAGCTTGAGGTATTGGAACAATACTGAAGATGCCTATGTGAGTAGAAAATGATGCTATGCGACTCAGTAGCAGAGAGTGGGATAAAGTGAAAGTGCTGAATCTATTTTGAAGGCGTCATTAGTTATTGTTGTTCTATAAAAATAAAAGAGATCATAGAATTCATATATGATTTTTCCGAGGCAAATGAATAAAAATGACAAGCTTATCAGTGGATCAAGTCAAAGAAAAGTCATCTTTCTTAAGGAAAGTTGAGGAAATTTACACTCCTAATAACTGTCAGCTTATTCGCACTGGGAACATGTTAATCACTCAACTGAGAAATAAGGTATAGAGTAGTCTAAGTCCATACACCGTATTCAAAAGAGCAACTGTATTTTTATAGGCAATTACATCAATTTGCAACAAAGAATTTAAAAACGAAAAGAAAGCTTGACTTGTGAAAGCATACCTGTTAACTTGAAGCTTATCGACATAACTTTGTGGTACTGAGTCAACTAATGTGTGATCCTTCCAGAAATATTAGGATTTGAAATATTTCTCTGCACCAAAATGACTTCTGAATAGGATGAAGTTTAACAAACAGTCTTTTATCCACAAGTGTTTTTGAATCAAGTTAATAAAAAAACGAATGTGTACCTAACTTTTCAAATTTTGTGAAGGAATTAAAATAAAGCTTGACGATATGATAGCATACATACCTTACATACCTTAAAGTAGAGTCTACTGGAAGGGAAACAAAATTTGACATCCTTTTTTGATCAGTAAAATATTTTTTTGTCGCAAAGGATTGGTCATTGTTGGTTGATTTAGTTTTGAAATTTGATACAAATACCTATAAAAATATACTTTTTTGGCCAAATGCATCGAACATATTTCTCAACCTTAATTTTAGACGCTATTTGTTGAAGTACATATGGAATACACAGATACCAAACGGAACTACCATTCATCTAGAAATCATATATGAAAATATAAACTTCAGATAAAAGCAGTTTGGGAGGGCTTCCCAATCCGTAGCAAGAAAGAGTAACTTAATTGTTAGGTTTCACTGCGTTTTCTTCTGAGAACTAAAAGTTTCACATAATACGAATGATGCCAAGGAAGTAAACAGACATATACAATGAACTCAGTTGACCTACATGAGAAGCTAGGATTCACCTTGAACGACTTCTAAACATTAAAAGCCTGTTCCTCTCATTGTTGATAGAGATTATAAGAGAGAGTTGTTTTACAGAAGATAGAACTGGGTCATTTGTACAGTATACGTTTTTGACTTGATAAAAAGAAAAACTTAAGAGTGGAATTCAATAGGCTGACTGAATATGAATTTTATTACTGATTGCATATTGTAAAAGGATAGAAAAATTCACTTTCATTTTAAGATCTATTGGGTTAAAATGAATCATTTTGCTTTCTGAATACAGATGAAATAAATGACACTAAATGATTATAAAAATTTTTCTTACACTTTGCACACCAATTAAACGATCAAGCAAAAAAAAAAAACAGGTAGTTGCTAACGTTAGTATGAAAAATGTCCTCGAGTAACACAGTTCGATATGAAAAGAATATATTTTGTTAAAAAAAGGGTTAATAGCTTGACCACTTAGTTAAAATTAACTTGTATATTAACGTTTCTAGTAAGTGATAACATTTATTTCCCGATAAAACATTAGAACTAGTAACAAATACTAGAAAAGCAGGATTTAACTAGTTAGTGAATTCCAACTGAAGTCGTCATGAGGTACTCGACATACTTGTTAAACAGACATACGTGCACGGTTAAGACGTGGCAAAATGGAAATGGGGATTTTTCAGAGGTGTACAGCAGAGAAAACTAGGCGAGACTCCATGATGAAACATCTAATGGACTAGTGGTATATTTCTGTGGGATTTCTGTAATAAAGCAAGGACCCTGCAGGGAAAAATAAATAAATTTCAGCTTGAATCCATTATGATTTTAGTTGCAACTCAGTTTAATCATATCTGTTCTTTCATAATGTCTTTTAGCCTTTAACTATGGCCCCTATCTTCTTGTCCTTACTTTTCACTTTTGATCTGTTTCATCTAATCAACCTTATTTCTGTCATGGTTAAGAGTGCATTTCTTGTGATGCTCTTTTGATGCTCACTTCTTCAATGTCATCATCCCTATTTACTGACTACTATCTGTTCTTGATACTGGGTGGTGACTGAAGGTAAAATGGAGACGTAATTCACAACAGGACTCAAATCAATCTCCTTGGGTTAGTAGCCTGGCACCCTGCAAATTGAACTGAGAAAACTAGCTGCTGATCCGATCTTAACTTCATTTCAGTCATCAACTGGCATTTAAATCTGACATGTAACAGTCTGATCATCATGAATATACTGGGCACCCAGCTAAGTCTTCTAAATCGGGCTGAAGTAGAGAAATGGCACGGTAATTTTGCTGTACAGATGGATGTAATCTATGTTCATCTTATTCAGCTTCCACCCCAATATCAAAGTGATTATTACCATTACTTATATGCAAATTGACATGATAATTTAGCCTTGCAAAACTATCCAATCTCATTTGATTATTTTTATGTTCAGTATGATGTAATTTGTCTGCAAGATATTCCTTTTTAAAAACCGTCCAAAGTATTAAAGAAGATTCATTTATGTCTCTTCACTTGATATGCCGGTCTGTTATCTATACAGATTTATACTTCTGCACTGCCGCATATTAATTTAAAAAATATACAAAGTATCTGCTAACAACTTTTATTGAAACTCGTTAACTTACCCAATCTGGCTTTTTGCACATTCGTTGCTTATTTGAAGTAACTTTATTTGTGAACTTATTCGGTATATTTAGTTGGAGAATTAAGCTAAAGCTATTTTTACTTTAAAACATACGAAATAACTTGAAGATATGACAGATGCACTTGCATGTTCAAACAAACTATTTACTGTGACTTTATACAATACTAGTCATTAGACTATTTGTTTTTCACATCGAAACATCAGTGTGTTGAATCATTTGCAAAATCTGTTTTCATGCAATAAATTTAACCTTTAGTTCGACATATAAATCTGTAGATGTTTATTAAGTATTATTTGAGTAACTGGACGAAATATACAGCAAAAGATATTCTCCTTAGATCTAAGCATTATCAAACACTTCCGTAGTAAAATTACGTCATGTATGCTAAGCGGTATGCACATGATAACTAGAATTAAAAAGTAGAATACTTTTAAAATCATGACGTTTATATAAATATTTCGAAAACAGAAACCAGGGTTCCAAAGAGGAAAGAAAATATACTTAAATAAACAAGCATTGGAGCCAAACGAGTTTGATATTAGACGGAACATTTTAAAGCTGTGTTACTTCTTCAAAACATCAGGTTTTGAATGTTACAGTATCAGTTTTACATGTCATATAAAAATAATTTTCGAGTGTGTTCACTGAAGGGTTTCTTTCACCTAATGTTAATTTTGTAGGGTGGTTAGTATTATCAGTTTGTGGAAACATATGAAGGATAGTTTATATTGAATACTGAAAATCTTATGTGGCTTTTTATTTCAATGAGATTAAGGGGACCACATTATGACGCTTAAAGTGTAGCTTAGCGAGAAAGAAAGGAGAAATTCAGTGGGTACCGGTGGAATTTTGTGAGAACCTGTATAACATTGGATAGCTCTTGATTACAAACAATTTTTTTAATAGAATAAGTTTTCCTACGCTAAAATTCACCTTAGCTTATCGTTATCTTTTTATTAATTAGACAAAAAGTTTTTTGTTGGATAGTTTGAAGTGACAAAATTATTAAAATATCTTTATTTACCCGTAAAATTGTTCGGAATGCCGATATGTCTTGCGCAACTGAAGAAAACATTTTCTTGTCTTTCTATCTACTTTATACATACTACATCTCATAAATTTTTACACGACTAAGTTATTTGACACAAACCCCCTGAAATATGAAATATGGTGATTTGCTTCCGTCATATTCAGTTTGAAACTTATTCTGAAGAAGCTTAAAACTAATAAATGCTACATAGTTGAAAGACTCTTTTCATCCTTAGAGATAAGCATGTTTCGTTTATCGTATAAGATGTTTCTGTACGGAGTAGCTCAGTCTGTCTAGAAGCTTTTCACCACAAATTATGCTGCTGTAAAGGTGACAGATTAGTTATTATTGGTGCTCATCATCTGACTAGACAAGAGTTCATAGGTGTCCTGAAAAATGTGTAGCGTTTGTATTGAATAATGGTTAATTTATTCTCAGACATTTTTTCCTAGTCATTTCAAGTATATCAGTTGTTTTTTTAGGACTGTAGAATGAATAAGCTTCATTAGTTTTTGTTATACTCTTCTTTGCAGGTCAATGGAATCAACGTTACTACCATGTCACATGAAGCTGTTGTTGCACTTATCCGAGGTTCTAGTGACATTTTAGGCTTGAAAGTGATAACTGTGAATATCGAAGAAGTTGCTTCAACACCCAAACTACAGCATCAACCAAATAATGGTACGTTTCATTGACTTGTTTCGTTACTATTGCCGCCTTTAAACTCAAAGGATAGAATGTAATTTTTACTTTTCAATCTCACTGAACACTTTTAAGTTGGGAATTTTGTCCTCATATTTCCATTAGTGTTATCAAGTTTCTCAGATGAAATCACAGTCAAGCATTAGAAACACTTACAACTGTTTAAGACTTGATAATATGTAATTTAAAGGGCTGTATTACCATTACATGAACAGTAATTAACTAATACACGACATTTGAACTATTATGTACATTTCTTCAATCGTCTAGTCTATCAAGGCTTAAATCTCGGATAAATTTCATATTTCACGTGATGTCATTGCCTAAAAATTAGGTTTATTTAACTAATACCTTACTTCTTAGTTTGCAGGTTATGACACTTATCTGTCTAAAATATCGAAAGGAAATGTAGATTTGTATTTGAGCAATGGCATTTGCCAAAATATTACCAATAATATGGCAAAATATAACGGCTACTTCTTCCTTGCGATTTCATGTTTAGTACTGATTACCAGGAAGTAAACAACGTATTTCTTTTTTAGTACTATTCAATGAGTCATCCACCTTATACTAATTCATGAAAACAAATAATAACTTTAAAAATTCAAACATGAAATAAAACCAGCAATGATATACTCATTAATATTGAAACTTTTTTATGGAAATAATGATAACAACTTTTATGGAATCTTTCCTGACAGTTATAACTTTTGATTATAAATATTACTAGTAGGTAACAGATTTTGTGAATCTTCGGACAACCTTTATAATTTGAGAACAAGAAAATACAATTGTGAGCTTAATTATCCAAATGACTGTTGTCAAGCGTCAGAAATCAATTGGTCCATCAATGTTGATAATAACTGTAAGACGATATGTAGAGATTCATTCCTTAATGCACAGAATGGGATTTCAAGTCAGTTAAACAAATCAGCTAATGAATCTTTTATGAATGGTTTTGTTTCAACGGATAAGCTGAATTATATTCGCCAGAATTCGGATTTATCAGACAGGAATAAGTATTGTCATCCATCATCTTCGAACACTTCATTAGTGACACACAACACCGTTGTTCCTCCACCAGTTTCAAGTAAACCAATGCTGGCTGCTAGAAATGGACTGCAAAATGGAACAAACCTCGGAGAAAGACAAAAACAAAATTCACAAACTAACCTGAATGTAAGTAAATTTATAGGTATGACTGACAAGCTTTGTTTATTTAGCTTTTAAGAGAAGCGTAAGCCTTTTCTCTTTGAATTAAACTATGGACCAGGGAGTATGAAAATAAGGAAGTGCCATTTTGTTTTTGGCTTTATTTCAGAAATGCTGTTCATTACGTTTATAATTTTCTAAGTGACTCCTCAACATTTTATCGTTTAACCGTTATGCGAATCTTCCTTTTCTAACAAGCCTGAAGTTTTCATCGCATATGTTCTGCACCAACTATTTTTACAGTTTTATTCAAGGAGATTGACTATGGAGTCTTTACTCTGTTCCTGCTACATGGTAAGGTTGAAGATGTACAGAAAACTATTATCTTCTGAGTCCAGAAAAAATTTCTGAGATTATATAGATGAGTAAGATACTGTTTAACACAGCCCAACTTTATCTTTGGCAAAAGTTTGCAAATTAACAGCTAAAGATCGTTATGGTAAGATTAAAAAGAATAGAACAGTTCAGATTTTTCAGAATAATCAAGAAAATGACTTTAGTTATTCAGCTTTATTCTGGTATCATTATTTACTGAAAGAAGAAGTTGTCTGATATCGGAGTTAAACCTGGGCTAAAATGAAAGTTGCCTGATACACTGTATACAGCCATATGAAAATAGTTTTGTGCTAAGATTACACAGTGGAAACCTAAAAGAATCCAATTTTTTTAAAACTAGACACTGATTTTTAAGCATAAAAAGTAGAAGGTAAATGTTGAACACCAGTTCATATATTAACTCAGTGTTTGAAAAGTGTTTAAAAGCAATTTTCACAGTGTCATCGTTCTCTATGTATAATAAATTACTTCACATATCATTAGTTTTTTGATGTTCTTCATCAGCTATGCACACGTTCATAATTGGCCAAAGTACATAAAAGTAACCACTATGTCATTTGATTATTATCTTCTTAAAATATGAGAAGTTTAATTTTTATCTTTTTAGAACAAATTTAGGCTTTGTGAAAAAGAGGGTGTCTCATCAAATATGGTTCAGAAAACGGTGGCAGTCAGTCATCCGCTTCCTTTAATACTTCCAGCGTTTTCTTCTAGCATTTCGAACTCGATTCCACCACCTCCACCACCACCACCACTTTTCACTACTGCCACCAAAAATACATCTGCTTCAAAGCCTGAAGTTCCTGCAGGAATCTTAAAAAAGAGTTCGCCAGCCATGAACGAACTTGCAGAGGATTCTACAACTTCTAAAAAGCCAACGGAATTTCAGAATCAGGATGGTTGGTCAGAACAACTAACACTTCCGCCTCCTCCACCTCCAGACGAATTTGAACTGAGTACATCCGAGACGGAAGTCCAGGAGCCTAGTGTCAAATATAATTGTACTAATTTTCAGGAAAAATGTAAAACACAGTCTACATCGAGGAATAGCAAAATATCATCTTTTGAGGAGAATCTGAGGAAAGCGGTGGCGCAGCGTCGTCGCATGATTGAAATGGCTTCAGAAGACGATGAACAAGATTTTGAATCATTGCACGGTAAGAGCTTTCAAAGTATGCTGTATACTGAGAGTAGCGTTAAATCTTCGAAACAGCAGAGTGATATTCTTCCACCAAACCAAAATTCCTTCAAGATGGCTGCAGAAAAGTTTCATCTGAAGGCAATAGCGCGTAATATACCATCGAATGGTACTATACCACCACCCGAAAAATTTAAAGACTGTGATAACGCTTTTAGTAAGGTTGACAATAACACAGGTGTGAACACATCCATCTCACTTGAAACTACGAAAAAACCAGTGATACCTCAATGGCAATCATGTCTAATCAAAAACAATGCTCAGTGTTTGACAAATAATGAGAAAAGTAAGTTGTCAAGTAATAATAGTAAAACACCTGAGTTATACGCATCAATAAAACCTTTTCAAAATAATGGGATCAGTGGCAGTAATGATAACATTTGTTCAAATAAACTGCCCAAAGATGTTACAACATTTAAACAAAACACAGCTGCACAGTCGATAAAGTGTTTTGGAAGACCTCTTACTCAAGGTTCTTCCACAGCCACACCTCCGCCGCCGCCGCCGCCGCCGCCACCACCCTTACTTTTTGAGGATACTCCTAAAGCAATGTGGTCTGCTAGGAAAAATGATTCGGTGAAATCTCTAGTAAGATGACAGTTCTACCAGCAGTGGACAACTTCAATAAATAAAAATTATTAGTCAAATTTGATTACTTTAAGACTTTGTCTAAATCAGCTGACAAAAGCCCAGATTCCTTCTCTGAATAGCAAACTAAAGCCTCACAGAAATTTATTCGGCAACTTCCTATGAATTAAAAGATGTAATAAACCGTCATTTCCTTTGAATCTACAGAAATAAAAAAATACAGAAATTCCTAATGAAATGAAATTTCAGCTCATTAAAAGGAATAGAAACAATATAGAACAGAAAATAATGTTTTTTTCAACTGTGAATACGGAACCCTCAAATGTTTAAAGTAATTAGTTGAATCAGCAATTCTGACAATTTTTTAAAAATTCATACATGAGTGAATGTCTCGGTATTCATTGACTTGAACATGTGAAACTGATCAAGATTTTTTAAAACACTTTGTCATTTTGTTATTCATCTTTCGTTCTGAATTCAGAAGAAGAAGAACATATGAACAGTCGCTTAGGACAATAATCATGAGAATTAATTTATATGCTGTTTTCCTACATTGTCCCGAGTTGATAACCTGTTGGACTATCCATTTCTTTATCATTCTCCTCATTTTTATGAATACTTACTTTATGTGTTTTGTTGAGATAATGTATGTGTTTTGAAAGAAAATGTTTCACTGAGTTTCTCATTCATTATATGTTTAATAGGAAAGTATATTTTTCAACTGATCTAATCAATATAATTTATGTGCTAGGAAACTGTATTTTAAAAAACCATCAGTAATAAATTATTTTGTCATTCTCCTGCTAATTTCTTTATTGGTACATCATAGTTAAGATACTTTTTAACTGAAACCTGAGCACTGTGGTAGAATTCAATCCGATTTAAGTTGATTTATCACGTATATCACACACCGGAACTGCATTGTTTACTGTACTACGTTTCGGACATAATTTATTGTTCGTAGATAACTACACAACTTCGAGACATCTTTTATGCGTTCCCAATTTCCTTGCCTCCTTTTTTGATATGGCTAGTAAGATTTTTCATATATTCCGAACAGGTTCTGAGTCATTCCTGTTGCATGTTGATACGTGTTGATTTATGTTGATTCGATGAGCAAAGATTCAGTTAACAATTTCTCCCTCCACCCTGCTACGTGACCTTAGGAATTTTCACCTTGTCGTAACTTATTGTGTAGTTGTGCGTAGCTGCATGGATAGCTATGACCGAGCTTCTTTTTAAATTTGTTATCTTACTAGGATCTGCCAATTTTGACCTGGCTAAGGTTTAGTGTTCGGATAGTCCAATCGACCCTGGTCGACTACTCTGACTTATTTCTTCGACTTCGCAGCTATCCGTTCCCAACTGTTCATAAAGATGTCAGCCACAATGTTGGTAATTCCATGACCTTTGTTTATTTTGTATATTTTATTCTGGAACTTAAAGATTGTGGAAGTTAGACACAGCGGTATTTTGAACATGATTTAGTCTACTGGTATCTTAGTTCATAGTATGAGAATAAAATATACAAACAAAAGGAGTTGTCATGGAAACACCAACATCCTCTTTTGTGGGTGACATATTTATTGATAGTTGGGAACGGATGGCTATCGAAACATTTAGTCCGGTTCCAAGAATACAACGTCGATATGCAGACAACACTTTTACAGTGTTGAAATCGGAGAGCATACATTGTTTCATTACACATATAAATCCAGTGGTCAACGCAATCCAGTTCACCTGTGAATTTAAAAATAGTGAAGAAGAATTCAGTATGTTGGATTACCAAATAAAATGAAAACAAGGTAGAAATTTAGGTACTAGAGTCTACATAAAATCTTCACACTCAAACGGTACTCAGACTTCAGATCGTCTCACCCTATGTCACTTAAAATTGGCTCGGTAAAACGTATAAGTAACAGGGCCTCTGAAACATACTGGTAAAATAGGAGATCTAGGACAAGAAACCAGATACATTAATGATACCTTACACGTCAACATTAAATGGAGGTCGCGATATATCGTGAACTGACAGAAACGGGAAATATGGGCCATTAGATTCCGATCCAGTGGCTCAATAGTCACGTGCTGGCTATGGAAGCCGAAGTTCTTGAGTTCGACTCCTGGCGAGGTCATGAGTACGCACTTCTGAGAAGTCCTACATTAAGATGAAACAGCTATTTAGTCATCCCAGGTTTCCTTCAACTGCTGTCAGTTTATGATGAACACTAACCTGAAATTACACTTCTAAACTAATTGATAATTTCTTTAGGAATCGTAAGAAAAATATGACATATTGGCAACAAAGGTGTGAATAGTAGCAATACTAAGGCTAATAACAATATCAGGAATACTGTGTATAAAGAATTTAAAACCTTTACAGCATTACTACACAAAAAAGGCTCCTCAAAGATATTAGGTAGAGTTGTGAATAAAGCTGGGATTAGAGTGGCATTTACACCTATAAACTCACTCACGTTACGTTATAAAATTTCAACAACAAAAAACAGGGTTTGCAGTGAGGAATGATTGATATAATTACTGATGGAAATGGTCGACAAATAACGAATTTTTCATCCGGATCTTCAAAATACTTTATAATCCAGTATTACGCGGAAAATAGGTTGTTAAATGCTTGTAAACGTTTTCTCACTGGTGCTTCGTTCACTGACCTGTGAAATACCTAACTTCACATTATTCTTCGATGAAAAACTTTATTTTTCAAAAACGTAAACTACAGTGTTATCTATCATAATGTGGTTAACTTGAATGGATTCCCCAGATTTCAACTATTATTATTATTATTATTATTATTATTATTAATCCCTTGGGTTCCTAGTGGAATATAGGGCTTCAGTAACATGTCTCCAATGCACTCTGTTCTCTACAAACTTTTGGACCTGGCTCAACCACAGAACAAAAGCTCTCATTTCCTCCTCACACGATCTCCTCCATGTCACCCTTGGAAGCCCAACTCGTCACTTCCCATCTGGGTTCCAATCGAGTGCCTGGCCTGAGGCGTGATGTCCTCAGTCGGCCTCCTCAGTGTATCCCACATCCATTTACACTTTCTTCTGCTTGATGTGGACAAGAGGGTAATTCCGCGCCAGTTCCTGCAAACACTGAGGTCTCCCTTCTTCGGCAGTTTGACAAGGTAACCCTTCTTCCAATCACTAGCCAGGTACCTTCTCTTCCTTCCACACCTTCTGCAATAGTGGTGTGAGCATGTCCGCTGTTGTCTCTGCATCTGTTCTCAGTGCTTCTGGCGGGATCCCACCTGGTCCGGCTGCTTTCCCACATTTCAGTAGCTTTATGGTGTTCGGGACTTCCACTTTTGTTGGAGGATTTATGTTCACTTGTAGTTCAGCAGCTATAGGTGGTATTTGTGGTCGATTCAAGAGCTTCTTGAAGTGGTCGGCCCATTGTTTCCTTTGTTTCTGTTCTTTCGTAATTAAATTTCCGTCATCATCTTTTATTGATTTCACATGTGTTTATATCTTCCTAGATAGTAACCTGGTTATTCGATACAATGTTTTCAGGTCTCTGTCTCTCCTACCTGCAGCCTGTTCTGCTTCACTTGACAGTGTTTCGTAGAAGTGTCTTTTGTCTTTGCGTGCACTCTTCTTCACTTCTTTGTCCAGTGTAGTGTTTTATACATTATGCTCAGTTCCTCTTGTCGTTGAGAATCCTGACCCTGGTTCACCTTCTGCTTCACCATCCTCCTCTCCTCTATCAACTTCCGTGTGTCCGTGGAGATCCATTCTTATCTTCTTTCTTCTTCCTTCCTAATACGGCCGTGCAGGTTTCTTTCCACATCTCTTTCAAAGACTTCCAGTGTTCTTCCACACAGGTTTCTTCAGGGATGTTCCTCAATATCTCCCATTTTGTCTTGATGGTTGATGTGATTTCCTTTGTAGTTTCGTGCTTCAGTTCAGTTTCTGTTCTGGGTGTTGAACTTGAACTGTGGTCTATCACCAGCTTCCTTGAAGGCTTTCAACTTGATTTTGAATGTAGGTTCCTTGCACTGGATAGTGGTCTGAACTTGCATCTGCTCCTCTTCTTGACCTTGTGTCATTTCTTGAGATTGCGATAAAGTTGATCTGATTTTTGGTGTGTCCATCTGGTGAAATCCATGTCACTTTGTGAACGAATATCCTTGTTCTCTGGATAGTGGTCTGAACTTGCATCTGCTCCTCTTCTTGACCTTGTGTCATTTCTTGAGATTGCGATAAAGTTGATCTGATTTTTGGTGTGTCCATCTGGTGAAATCCATGTCACTTTGTGAACGACGATCCTTGTGCTCGAACTCAGTGCCTCACTGAAATCACCAAATCGTTGAATGCACAGAATTCTGCAAACAATTCTCCTTTCTCGTTCATCACCTCACCGAGCGCTTCTCCACCCATGGTTTGTTCTCTTCCTGTGTTGTCCCCTCCCAGTTTGGCATTCATGTCGCCCATTAGAATTTTGATATCGCCAACTGGAGTGTGGTCTTGTCCAGTGTTGGATGCAGTTGTCTGTAGAATTCCTCCTTCTCCTCTTGTTCTGCATTATTTGTGGGTGCATAGTGTAGCACTGTATGATTGTAACTTTCCTTCCTTTTGACTTGTACCTTGCTGTCATGATCCTGGAGGAGATTGGTTCCCACTGCATGAGAGCCTTCGATGCTCTTCAAGGGGACATCATGATAGCCACTCGAAAACTCAATGTGCTGGTGGTTGTTGTCTGGGTGACAATATCGGAGTAGATTATTGATTTTCCAGTTGACAGTTTGGACAGTCCACTCCGATTCCATCTGGTTTCGCAAATTCCTAACACTTCAATGCTATACCTTCTCATCTCCATTTGCAATCTGGGCTGCCTTGCTAGGTCCACACATGGTGCGGACATTCCATGTCCTCACGTTTACTTTCACTTTCATCGAGGGAGAGAAGACACACAGGCGAACTGGCTTTCCGAAGGCTTTCACCAACTGGTGTCATTTCGCCTCTCCGATTCCAGTGAGGAATAAGTTTGCTCTCATTTTATATATTTTGTTTGTGCTTTGACTTTTCTTTAGCGGTCAGATTGGCTTTGGCGCGTGGGGTTGCTAGCCCAATGCTTAACCTTCCCTCTTTATCTGGGTAGTAACTAGTGAACTAGTTAACCAGGCGAGGTTAGATTTCACCTATGATTCACGCTAATTTTGGTGGCAACATGAATGAACAATAAAATGTAATTCGTTCTGTCACTTGGAAAGGAATATATTAATTTAAAGGTATTTTTCACCACACGTTATAATCAACTAAATCAAAGCAAAATACAAGCAAGCTTCAAAGATGTTTTTCGGTGTTTTGGGACTCTGCAGTGTATTTCAACAAATTTAAGTTGGGCTAGGAATCACCAGTTTTTGTTAACAAAGTGCTGTTATTTAGTCACTGGTCCCGAATCTTCGTTGAGATTGCGGATTCGTATGGACAGATAACGGTGAATAGCGATTGCTATTTTAAATTGCACACTGAAGACTAAATGTCAATCACTCCACCCGAAGATCGATGATCCATAATCCTTTCCGTAGTGAATGAGAATTATAATGAATTTTCATTTTCACGATGAGATGAGTTCTAGTGAGAATTTGTTACCTGGTGGCAAACTGAGTTGAACATGAGGAGAAATACTCAACGATGTTGGGGAATGAAGGTTTTGCTAAATCGCAAATTGATGTAAGTGGAAAAATGTGAGCCATTGGATTTCAACAAAGTGGCTCAGTGGTAATATGTTCATAAAGGAATCTGTATGTCATGAGTGTGCACTGTTGAGGAGTTC